AAAGGTTTGATAACCAGAATCCACAGAGAACTCAAACTTATTAACAAGAAAAGAACAAGTGGGGCAGCGCCTGTGGCTCAGTGAGTAGGGCACCAGCCTCATATACTGAGGGTGGTGGGTTCAAACCCAGCCCCCAGCCAAACCACAACAAAAAATAGGCGGGCATTGTGTGGAGTGCCTGTGGTCCCAGCTACTTGGGAGGCTGAGGCAAGACAATCGCCTAAGCCCAGGAGTTGGAGGTTTCTGTGAGCTGTGTGAGGCTGCCATGGCATTCTACCAAGGGTGATAAAGTGAGACTTTTGTCTCTAAAAAAAAAAAAGAAAAGAACAAGTGATCCCATTTCACTGTGGGCAAAGGACTTGAACAAATGCTTCTCTGAAGAAGATAGGCTCATGGCCTACAGATACATGAAAAAAGGCTCATCATCTTTAATCTTCAGAGAAATCCAAACCAAAACCACTTTGAGATATCATCAGACTTCAGTAAGAGTAGTCCATATCACAAAATCCCAAAACTATAGATGTTGGCATGGATGCAGAGAAGAGGGAACACTTCTGCACTGCTAGTGGGAATGTAACCTAATACATTGCTTTTGAAAAGAAGTCTGGAGAACACTCAGGGATCTGAAAGTAGACCTGCTGTTTGATCCTGCAATTCCTCTACTAAGTGTACATCCAAAAGACCAAAAATCACTTTACAAAAAGGATATTTGCACCAGATTGTTCATTGCAGCTCAATTCATAATAGCCAAGTCATGGAAGAAGCTCAAGTGCCCAAAGACCCATGAATGGATTAATAAATTGTGGTACATGTATATCATGGAATATTACACAGCCTTAAAAAGACAGAGACTTGACTTCTTTTATGTTTACCTGGATGGAGCTGGAACATATCCTACTTCCTAAAGTATCTCAAGAATGGAAGAAAAAGTGTCCAATGTATTCAGTTCTATTATGAAATCAATGTACAATTACTCACACTTTCATATGAAAGATAAATCACAATTATAGCTCAGGAAGAAGGATGGAAGAGGAAGGGATGGGAGGGGAGGTAGGAGGTTCGATGGCGGGAGGGTAAATGGTGGGACTACAACTATGGTGCATATTGCAAGGGTACATGTCTAATCTATTAAGTATAGAGTATAAATGTCTTAACACAATAATTAAGTAAATGAGATGAAGGATATATTAACTAGTTCGATATAAGCATTCCAAATTGTATATAAAATCAGCACATTGTACCCTATAAATGCATTAATGTATACATGATCTATATGTTCATGACTTAATAAAAAGAAATAAAAGAAATCAAAGCACACACACAAAAAGGAAGTGGACAGATGATGATGGAGGAACAATTACCAGGCGTGGAGTGTTGGAAGCAAGGGTAGAGGGCTGGCTTGGAGAGACCACTCTCCCTCTCACACTCAACAAAGGGGGAAAGGCAGCCCCTCCTTTGTTCTTTAAGGAATAGATCACACGTAAAAAAAGCCTGAAGCAGGTGATTTCACACAATGTGCTCTTCTCCAGATCCATTCAGTGGGAGGAGAGCAAAATAATTAAAATGGTTTCCAGCCCTCTAGTTACTCAACCTCCTGCCACTCAGATGAAGATTCGCTGATAGGCGAGTGCTCTGGGGGAAGGGGAGAGGCCTCACTCATCTTGGAACACCAAGTCCCAGTACCTCGCAACCCAATGCCAGGAAAGGATGGCCCATTCCACAAATTTATAAATATTCTCTTAAATTCCAGAAGGCTCCCTTAACAGAGAGAAGGGCAGCCCCGCCCTGGCTTGCATCTAGCAGGTTGCTCCACCTCCCCTAGACTCAGTTTCCTCATCTGCACGCCAGGATCACAATGCTGGCTGCTTTTGTCCCCAGTGCTCTACTTGCTCCCTGGCCTGGCCAACTGCGGCATGTGATATTCATGTCCATGATGATTGTTTAAGAAGTGAGCAAGTGACCCAAACAAAGCCAATCAGATTCTTCCCTGAGAGTTTTATGTAGACTTGAGGGAAGCATTGGGGGCAGTGAGGATAATGGACAGTGGAACTCTCTGGGGTTGTCATCCCCCCCAGCAGGGAGGGGGACATTGTTGTCAGTGGGAGAGGATGAGGACAGTGTGTAAGGAGAAGCAGGGAGAAGGGAAAGGATGGAGAGAAGGAGATGGCCCAATACAGTCCTTGGTGCAGCCTTGCCCAGGACTTCTCAGAACAAGCTCAGACTTGTCTGATTTCTGCAATGGAAGATGCTTGGTTGGCACAAATCCCTTCCACCCAGGCAGAACAGATCAAGGATTGTTCATGGAGGAGGGAGCATTGAGCTGGGTATTGGAGGGTCAGATGGGTAACTGGGCAAAGCCAAGGTGCCAGAGCACCCACTTCCAACGTGGGCAGAGACCTTGCCAAGGACTTCACACTCATGGTCTCCTCTTCAAACCAACAGAGGTCACCGTTGATTAGAAGCAGGTGAGCAGACTATGGCCAGAGACTTACTCAAGCACACTGTGTGAGAATAGCAGAATGTGGACCAGGAACAGAGGGGGCCTGACATAGAGGTGATGGCCTCCCTCCACACCAGCCTCCCATACTCGCCTTGCTGGAGTCAAGGGCTCTGGCCAGGGCTGTCAGACACCCCACTGGTGTGGTGTCCGCAGCTCCCTGAAGGGTCATCTACAAACAGGTGCACCATACGCTTCCCATCTATATGAGGAGAGCCACCTGGGAGCTGGGCGGGCTTTGGAACATGTGCTTTGGTCTGCAAAGACTTGGGGTCTTAGCTTCTCCCCTTAGCCTCTGAGCTCCTGGAAGGAGGAACCAGAGTTTATTTATCTTGGGATCCCTGTCCATGGGCCAACCTGAGGAGGGGGCAGAATGAAGTACAAGGAGGTGGCCCACTTCAGGGCCTTCCAGAAATGTCACAACCATCTCATGACACTTACGAGGTCCCCCGAGTGAGGGCACCCCACTGATGGGGGAGACAAACAAGGACAGAGGCAAGAAAAAATCATCACCACGAGGCCGGGGATGGGACAGAGAGGAAGCACAGACTCCTTGGAGGAGGTGACAGCAGGCTGACAGCAGGTGCAGTGTGCTCCAAGGCAGTGTGGGGGTGCCAGGGACAAGGGATGAGGGTGGAACAAAGCTGGGGAGGGGCACAAGGACGGTGTGGCTGGGGTGTAAAGGGCAATCCAGAAGTAGCGGGTGAGAGGACAGGGCGGCCGCAGCCCCCGCACCCAGAACAGGCATCACCTTGCCACGAGCGCCCCTTGGTGGCAACATGGGGGAAAGACAGGCAGAAGGTCACAATCCAGGGGAGATGCCCCAGGAACATACACAGTAGCTGGGTTGGAATCACCTTTTTACAGCAAGTCCCTCTCTTGCAGTTCTAATGACCCCCCCAAAACTCACTGCTACTCTTCACTGGGATTCCCCAAAGGTGTCAGGACCTGCAGCTCAGGAGTCTGTGGGGAATCCTGTCTCCTTGGGATGTCTGGGGTCCACAGAGTCTCAGGCTGGGGAGCCATCTGGTTTTCCAAGTGTCATTCAAAGGACTCCCCCCCCACATATTGGCTACCGCGTTGGCCCATGCACGGCTCTGCTGGGAGACCCTGAAGGTCTGGGCAACTCCAGGATGTTGGCAGCTCTAGGGAATCTCTGTCCCTGGACACAGTGGCTTTGAGCCACTCAGAGCCAGCCCTGCTTTCAGGGTGGTTCCCTCCTGGGGCTGTCCCTCCCCTCCTCACACATCTACTCTGATATTCCAGCATGCTGCCCACAGCCACAGGGTCACAGCACAGCTGCCCTCACGTGACTGACCACGCTAGTGCTGGCCACCATCAAAAGTTCCAGAGAGCCTGTCATGTGACCGATGCCATCTATATGGTGGACACACAACCCTGGTGACATCTGGGTCAGGGCTGCTGGCTCTCACTCCACCCCCTTTATCCACCGCCCTGGGCTGGGCTATGGGGAGCGAGGCAACACCATGTCGGCTCCTTTAATGAAAACCTGGGTGATTTTCTGATTTTGCAGCCAGTGTAGTCGGTACCCCTTCCTGTCTTGCCCCCTGGAGACCCTCTTCTGGATCCCAGCAGCCGGGTCAGGGGTGTCCAGTCCTCATGGAGGCAGCAGGAGGAGCACAGACAGGCCACGCTTAGTTTTGGAGCTACAGGAGAGTAGGCTTTTCTCTTTCAGGATCTTATGCCTGGTAGGACCCCAAGCAGGAAGCCGAGATGACTTGGAAGGAAGAGGGCTTTTCTCACCTCCAGGCTAGAGGGAGAATCCCTGGGCCACAGGAATAAGAGACCTAGAGGTGAGGATCCCAAGTGGCCCCTGCCACAGCCCTCCCTGTTCGTGTCTGTCCAGGGCAGGTAGCATAAGAACACACATCAGATTTTGCAGGTCACATCCCAGACTGGCGGGGCTGTGAGAGCAGCTGGGCCTGTGGGTCACGGCCAGCCCTAGAAGGTGCCCACAACCTACAGTGGGCCTGAGTGAGGCTGTCACCAGAAAGAGGTGGACACAGCAGTGATTTCAGGAAGGGGGCAGGTGGACCAATGTCTAAGGAGCGAGGGTATCTCAGGGCACACAGGTGGGGACAGATGGCACTGACCAAGGGCCAAACCCTTTCCTCCCCATAGAGACTGAGGTACTGGGGTACAGCCTCACCCCGATAAGCTGGCTAGGGCACATCCTTAGGAACCCTGAACTGACTCAATATGTTCCCACTGCCACCCACAGAACATTGGCTTTAGTTACGGGAGACGACAAAAGTTTCACTTCCTGTGCCTTGAGTTAGTGCACTGACAGTTTGTACTGCTATAGAGAAGGCGCACCCTATTCCGATGCCTGATTCATCAAGGCCTATCACCATGTGATGCATCCGGCCCAGGTCGCCAGCTGAGGCCCCTGTGGGCAGAAGCTGTCCCCACCATGAGGTGGATGGGACACCGGGGAAGCTCTCCCCACTGAAAGGCTGGGGGCCCAGGGCCTGGGGGTTACCTGTCACTCCCGTTCCAGGCGCATTCAAACTTGTCAAAAATGCAGTCATTCTCATACAGAGAGCAGAGCTTGCTCCGAAGATAGTCATGGACCTGGTGAGCAGAGGGGATAGTGTGAGTGGATGGGGCCCCCCAACTAACCTGGCCCCTTCCACAAGAAGTGTCTTGAAGAGAAGCAGGGGTCTGTATGGTAACTGGCATGGCCCTGGTCACTGGGAAGGTGTCACAACACACAGCTGACCCCTGAGCTGTGCAACCAGAAAGAGGATGGCACCAGGGAGCAGAGTTCACTCTGATACCCACAGCACAGGAGTGAGGACCTCCTGGGGACCACATCCTGGTTCTGCCCCTCCCTGGCTGTGTAATGGAAGAATGACTTCACCTCTCTGAGCCTGTTTCCTCCTCTTTACAGTGCTAAGACTGCAAAGCTCGTGGGCTGCCCTGGGACTAAGTGCAGGACAGTGCTGGTGTGGGTCATGCCCTGTGAGGATGATCACCGTAATGAATCACGAACCCGAGGGCCACCCTCATCAAAGAAAGGGGACATCCAAAAAGAGAGCCTTGAGCGGCTTCTCACACATCCTATCTTGGCAGGTGGCATCATCCATCCACAATGTGAGGCACCGAGGCTCAGAGGGGTTGAGGGACTGTCCCAAAGTCACATAGCTTGTCAGTTGCCGACTAGGACCCCTCCTCAAGATCACCTGGCACCACAGGAGGAGATGGGCGTGCCCCAGGACCCACATCCCCCTCATTGCAGTCCAATCCTACTGCTGAGAATGGGGCTGCTGCTGGGACCGTGAGCACGGGCTCTGCCCGCTGTGGGGAAAGGTAGTACCTGCGTGGCATGAAGTCTGATCTCCACTCTGGGCCCTGGAGCCCGGGGGTAGAATGGGAGGGGCCCTGCAATGTTAATTGCATTACCAACTTGGCTGGCCATGGTACCCAGATACTTGGTCAAACCTATTTTAGATGTTTCTGTGTAGGTATTTCTTAGATGAGATTAACATTTAAATCTATAGACTGAGTAAAACAGGTTGCTCTCCATAACATGGGTGGGCCTCATCCAACCAGCCTGAGCAGACACAAACTGACCTGCCCTGGGAGGAGGGGATGTGGCAGCATGTGGCCCTCCTTGACGGGAGCCATTAACTCCCCACTGGGTCCCCAGCCTCCCCTGAAGATCTGGACATGCCAGAGCTTCACAGGCACTCAGTGAGCCAGTCCCTCAGATTCTCCCTCCTCTCCCTCCCATCCTCCCTGGTCTCCAGCCTGTTGCTTCTCTTTCTCTGGAGAAGCCTGGCTGGCATGGGCAGGGAGGGGGGGAACAAAACTGGGGGGAGGGCCATTGCTACCCATGGCAGACAGGGTGGCTCCCCTCTGAGGGGCTCAACCCCTGCTCATCTCTCCAGCCCCAGTGTCCTTCCCATGAGCCTTCCTACCTCCCACCCTACCCCACCCCCAGCTCACAGCCCCACCAGGCTGATGTGCACTGGGCTCTTGCCAGTGAACTGGGCTCTTGCCTGCCTCGCCTTGTGGGCGAGGCCCAGAGTTTAGCTCTGTGTATGTGTAGCAGCTAAACTCAGAAGGGACAAATGGCAACAGACAGAATTTAAAGCTCCACATCTCACCCCTCCTGGCCTGCATTTTTGTGTGTCCACCCACTTAGTCCCAGCAGCCTTAGTGATGCTCTCATCCAAAGGCCTTCGCTGTTCTCTCTCCTGTCATGGAGAATCTCCTGCCCTCTGCTGGCAGGGTGAGGAAGTGTCAGCTCCACAGATGTGAACTCATATCTAAGGTCTGCTTGCTAGTTCGTCACCATAGGCCATTTAACTCAATTGTCTTCAAATCAAATGGGATGGGGAATACTGATCCCACCTCCAAGGACAGCGGGGAGGCTTAGATAAAGCAAAATAGGCCAAAGACTTAGGTCAGTGTGGCTCATTCAACAACCATCCCCACCCCCTTAACCCTACCTTCCTTAATTAGTTGTAAAACTACTAATTTTCCCAGCCCCTTTGGTGCCTTCCAGGACTCATTCCAGCTAATGAAATGTGTGGAGTCTTCTAAAAAGCATTCTGAGGAACCTTTTTGGATCATGAAACGGACCCTATGGACACGGTCTTTTGCATTTCCCCGTTTCCTCCTGGAATGTAGCCAAAGTGCCTGGAGTTGTGGCAGCTATTTTGCCACCAGGAGGTACCCAGGCATGACAGTGGAAAATCCGCACCCAGATGCTGGTGGACTGGACCATGGAAGGAACCACTGGGACACTGATGAGGGTATGAAAGCGCTCCCCATGCCTGGACTGCCCTACAAACGACTCGTGATGGGAGAAAATAGCCCTTATTTGTACTGCAAGTCAGCCAAACACAATCCAGCTGGACACAATTTCCACCAAATAATAGGACACCCCCAAAATATGAGTTGTGGTGCTTTCGTGTAATTAGTACTTTAGAGTTAATAGATTGACCTGGCCAAATGCAAGCGCCTGGCTTTGGGCCTCATCCTCCAGAGGATCATCCTGCTTTGCTGGGGCCTTCACAAGAATCTCCAAAGGATCTGCACCCTCTCCCCACAAAACGCCCACAGGAAATGCTACACAGCGTATCAGGGGTGCATGAGACTTTACTGACTACAGGGATGTGCCAGGCTGAGGGTCCTGAGGGAGGCAGAGTCAGGCATTTCCCTGAGTTGTCTCCTGGCGGGGTAGGGGGGGAGGTGCAGAACAGTTGCTCCTGTGGGCCGGTCCCATCTTGCATCTCTGCCGTTTCCAGAGGACAGAGGACGGGCAGATCCTGGCTTGGAGTGTGTGGTGTGAGCAGAGGGCCAGGGGTAGAGAAAGAGGGGGAGATACGGGGTCTCAAGTGAACATAGGTGGTTAACGAAGGGCCTGGTGCCAGCAGATGCCCTGTGGACGTGTGGCTCCCGGGAGCACACTCCTGGCCCAGGTCAGACTCAGCACCCTTCCCAGACAGGTCCTCTGCCTCCTAGGACATCTCTAGGCCTTGGCAGGGAGGGAGGGACACGCTGGGATCTGAGTCTGGGCTATGAATCTGTCACCGCCCAGCTGCAAGACAGGTCCCTCCTGTCCTGGCCTCTTAATGCCTTGGGCTCTCTCCCCACCAAACAGGGCAGCGAGGAATGGAGGTGACAGACATTAAGTATGTGGCACCCTGTGAGCACCTAATTCCTGGTGATGCTGTGAGAAATCAGCTGGGCTTTCTAGTGGGAAACACCCACCCACTTCTGCAGATCCTACAGCTCCTTCTGAGTCCAGCATAAACGCCACCTCCTTTGAGAGGCCTTCCTGATCTCTCCGGCTAGACACTTAACTGAAACCAGCTTTGAAGCCATCCCACATTTCCTCCAAGTCCATCGTTTATTTTAACATCATGTGAATTTCATTTTCTCCCCCTTAAAATATATGGATGAATCGTAATAGAAAAATAATAATTCTTTCCAGTAAGGTTCCCCACGTGTCACCCTGAGTGCCTGACTCCTAAGCCTGTGCTGAGGATCTAGAAATGTAATGTGCTCCCTGGTTCCCCTCTGCACACACTGTTTAAGGATGCTCTCTGGGAAGGGCAATGCTTATTCTGTTCTCATAGCTTGAAGCTCCTCGGTTTCCATGTCCCTCCCCTCCTGCCGCTGTGGGCCAGGACTGAAGGCCTAGTTCATGGGCATTCACGGTTCCCTTGATGCTGGGCTGAACCTCAGTGTCTACAAATGGGCATGTGAGAGCCGGCCCTGGCTGGGAAAGCCCCGTCCATGGGGACCTCAGCCCAGGGAAGGGAGCCCTGAGGATAAACACTTCACACCGAGGTGCCCACCTGGTAGGTCTCTATGGGTCTCGCCTCCATGTTCAGGTCCCAGACCTTGACCGTGAGATAGTCCCGAGTGAGCATATACCGGCCACTGTGGCTGAACTTCACGTCTGACACGGAGGAGATGATTTCTGAGAAGAAGGAGCGGTTACTGGGGTCCTCGGGCTCTTCGAAGACTGCAAAGACAGAGAAGCAACAACCATCACCAGCTGCTCCTGCCCGTGGGGTCGGAGTGACAGACAGCCCTGTCCTGCACCTGGGTTCGTGCTGTTTCTACAGACATTTCTTCCTTCATCAGAACTAGAACAAAACATTTAACAGGCAATGGGCCTAAACTGTCTTCCAAGGAGGAAAGAGCTGGCTCTTGGAAGGACTCATCTGTGGGAACAATGTTTACAGAGCACTTACTCTGAGTCGAGTTTTGTGCTGAGCCTTCCCATGTATCATCTCATCTAACCCCCAATAAAATGCCCATCATCCCCATCTGCGGCCAAGAGAACTGAGCGCAGATGGCTGAACTCCATGCCCAGGGTGTCAGGGGCTGGAAGAGAACGGTGAAGTCAGGATGCGCTGCCCTCTGTTGGTGATGCTGGATGCCATATGGCAAAGGTGTCCTGATATTCTCCAATGTGCTAGACAGTATCCTCCACCAGGCTTGGCACTGCTTGTGGCCCTGGTGCTTATGGGTCCTGGGACCTTGGGCCAGCGTTTATCTCTGTCCCTAGTGTCTTGAGCAGGCACAGCTGAGCCCTGCTCACAAGTAGGTTTTGTTTGGCTTCCACAGAGCTTCCTGTTCACTGCCTGTGACCATCTGTTATCTCAGACCAGCTGCCCCCATGGGAGGTGGCTCATCTGGCCCCTGCCCCCACAGGCAATGGCAGCCTGGGCCAAAGTGAGCAACAAGGGCCCCCTATACAGTTCCCAGCCCTGCTGTCCCAATAACCCAGCCTTCTTGAGCTGCGAGTTCCCTAAGCAGCAGGACAAGTTGTGTGGTCTTCTGTGTGTCCCTGCAGATCCCGTGGTAGCCCTGGGCTTAGATGGTTGGGGACTAGGATCTGGACCAGGGCACGCCCAGGGACTGACAGGAAGTGGATGGGGGGGTGGTAGTAGCAATTTACCAGCCAAATATGGAAGAACTTAAACATTTGATAACCCGTCCAGTGTCCCCATAGACAGAGCTGGGTGGCAGCCTGGCCTGCTGTCCTGAAATAGGGAGGCCAAGCTAGTCACAGCTCTCCAGAGCCTCCAAGAGTCTCCTCCCTGCCGTCCCTCAGTCACGGGATCTCATGTCCTGCTTAATGGCCTGTCCCATCCCTATCCTCTCAGCGGAGACCCACATCCCCATCTCCCTGCTGCCCAAGGCAGACGCTGCCCCTGGCCACCATTGCGCCCAGAAATATACTCTAGTTTAGCTCCCTTCTGCACAGCAGCTGGGGACATTCCCTGCCCATGGGATGTTCTGACAATTACCCCTGCATTCATTCATCTACTTGCTTAGTCAGCCATCCATACTGTGTGCCTCCCTGCCCTGTCGAGGCACTGGGGTGACACAGCAACTATCACAAAGCTGCTTGCTACCCCCATTGAGTCAGCCTTGTCCTCACAGAGATAGAAAATAAAACTGAGCACCAGTTATACCACCAGGCAGAGGAGGTACAAGGAGTAGGGAAGGAGCCAGTGAGGAGGTGGACTGTGGAATAGGCCGGTCATCTAGATGGGCAGGGCCTCTGTGGCAGGTGATGTCTGAGCACAGATCTGAAGCCAGGGAAAAGCAGTGGAGACAGCTGCGGTGGCTAACAGTTGATGGCCATGTAGGCAGAGAAAGGAATGAGCTGGGGGAAGAGAATGCTGGGGCTACCCCATGCAGGACCTCACTGGATACACAAGGGGTAAGGATGTCATTGTCAGGCAGGTGGGAGCCACTGAGGGTTCACAGGTGGGAAGGTGAAACCTGACACAGGGGACAGGGAGGGGTGGGTGGAGGCCTGGAGCTTCCTTCCCATACAAAAAGGAGGTTCCAGCACCAGGAGATGGGGCTACAGAACAGATGTCAGCACCCTCATTCAGGCTACTGGGTGTGGGGTGCAGGCAGAGTGGGGACTGAAGATCCCATTCTGGGCAAGAGAAAACACCCCCAGAAAAAGGGAAAAATTAAAAAGTATGCTGAATGAGTCAGAACAAATGGTAAGTCAGCTAGTTTACCTGTAAACCAGTGGCTGCTAAATTTCTCATCTGAGCAAGTTTCCTGCTTTTCCTAGAACTCTGGCCTACTAGGATACAGCTTACTAACAACCCTACTGGATCCGTAAACACTCTAAAGAAACGCTGTGGCAAGGCCTGGCAAGATACATTAACTAGGCTATTTCCTGCCCAGTTAAGAGTCAAAGCAAATACCCATTGTGGAGATCTGTATTTGCCTGGGGCAAAGATCAAGGGAATAGCTTGAGCCCTGAAATACAGGTAGGAGAGTTTATATCCCTTAGCTCACAGGAAGACCCTCTGTGATGGTGATGAGAGGAAAATTCCTCTCTCCCAATGATTCTTCAGAGGAGATTGATGCCAGTAGTGTTTAACTCCATAGTGAACTAGCGGACATTAACACCTCCCTAGGAATCCGTGAGTTTGACCTCAGACAGGAGGCTGCCCCCACACAAGGCTCGGCTTGAGGGAGTTCTCAAGACTGCTCAGATCGACTTGGTACCTATAACTCAGTGGTTAGGGTGCCAGCCACGTGCACTGGGGCTGGTGGGTTTGAACCTGGCTTGACCTGCTAAACAATGACAACTACAACAATAACAAAAAAATAGCCAGGCATTATGGCGGGTGCCAATAGTCCCAGCAACTTGGAGAGCTGAGGCAAGAGAATTGCTTAAGCCCAAGAGTTTGAGTTTGCTGTGAGCTGTGATGACACAGTGCTCTACAGAGGGCGACATGATGAGACTGACTCAAAAAAAAAAAAAGACTGCTCAGATTCTTAAGGTTAATGATTACAGAAACAATAGGAGCTGATGTGCTCACTCAGAGAAACTGCTGGTGTCTTTGTTCCCTTCCTCAGCTTACCTCTGGGCTAATAAGCAAATAGCCTTCAATAAAAGCTGGGTGGAACAGACACTCGGGGGCCACCATCATAATGCCACAGCGGCAGTGGTCCCCTGAGTTCCCACCTTTGAAAGTTCTATTCTGTGTCTTTTGTTCTTGTCGTTTCTAACCTTATATTTCTTCAGTCTGTGGCCAGACCCACGGGTCTTACCGGCTGCTGCCCCTGGGGCGGGACCCCCGCAGTGGGGAGAGGAGGGAAGTTTCTTGCCGGGTAAGAGGCTCCTGCGTGAACCTTCATCCTCTGGTGTCTCCAAAAATCAGAGCAGGAAAGAAGGAAGAGAACCCCCTCTCTGTGAGTATGTCCAAAGGGCTGGGAGATCTGTATTCGGCCTCCCCATGGCCTATGATAAGTAGGTGGTATTGGAACTGCTGCACCTGTGCCCAAGGGCAGGCTGGACCTTCTTCTAAGCCAGGGTAGAGCCCAGCAGAAGGTGCGAGGGAGTGCAGCTCATCTCTCCAAGAGGTCTTGTCAGACTTTGGAGTTAGAATGATCTCAGCCTGGCATGTGTTTAATTACCAAAAGAAAAAACAACTGTAGACCCCTCCTTGTTCAAAGGAGACTCTGATCCTGCCTCCTGGGCTGGCTCTCCTGGTATCATGCTTTCCTTTTCCACAGGCAAGGTGAAGGCAGACCAGAAACAGGTACCATGAGAAGAGAGGGTGAGGCTGGTAGAAGAGGGGTCTGAGTCCCAGAGCCCCCAGCTGTGTGGCCTCCCAAGGCATGCAGCTCCCTGAACTTGGCCTTCTCATCTCTACAAAAGGGGCCAGGGGGAGCAGCACGGTAGGCACCACCCTGACATGGGCAGAAGAGATCACATGTGGGGAAAGCTTGGTGCATGGTGTGTTCACAGAGGTACCATCTTCCCTCCTTCTCCCATTGTTCCCTATGACTCAGCCAGAGTGAAGGGGGACACAGAATACCATGGGCCAAGGGAAGGATGCTGCCCCCTGGGCAATGGGGAGCCCAGAAGGGCGGGCAACAGGGGGGGGCAGGGCTCCACGTGAGTCTCTGTGGGACTTTCCCCTGCAGTGGCAGCCAGAAGGCTCTCCTAGGAAGTCACCTTTGGCCTCTAAAACATGTGAATTCTGATTGGTCATATACACTAATGTTTCATGTCCTGATAATAATAAAGTGTATCGTTTCTGCAGGTATTTATGTTTGTAATTTTTCTTTGTTAAGTCAAAAAAGTTCAAAGACAATTCTCTTTTCTCTCAAATGCCTGAAATTAAAAAAAAAAATCAATATTTAATTTCTTCCTCAAACTAAAAACGTGAGATTCTGTGTTGCCTTTAAACAGTGAGATTCTGGGTAGAGACCCAGTGTAATATTTGGGTGGAGGCCTTGAGGGAAGAGGGACCCCAGGTGAGGGATAAAATCTCAACAGGGACTGGGTGGCCCCCCCCATACCTGCCCCCTCTCCCTGGCCTGAGCTGGCATTTCTGTCACTAGGGAGGAAACAGGAGCTGTGTCATAGAATACTCCATGGCCTTCCCACCCCATAGCTTGCTCAGGGCAGACTCCCCCTAAACCCTGGGGCCGGCCCAAGTTCCCAGCTGTCTGTGCCTAGACGGGGTAGAGGGGCTGGGGACCAGGGTGATGGGGACCAGGATGGCAAAAGAACTTCCCACACTAGGCATTACAGAACAGGGCAACCGGTGTTCTCCCACCAGCTTCAAGGAGAAGGCCCAGAGGATAATGTGATCCATAGTTGAAAACAGAACCACCAAAGGTCACCGGCCCCTTATAACCCAGTTCTGGCTGTCTACAGGCATTTCTCATGGTTTTTAAGGACAAAGGGACCAGAACTACAAAAGATAAATGGAAAGAGACATTAATAAGCCTTAAAAAAACTATTCCTAAGAGTTCTCATTTTTATTTTTAAACATGTCCATGAAATTTTTGATACAATAAATTTTTTCAAAAGAGAAAGGAATCTACTATTCTATTAATCCCTGTCCCCATACTGGTCACTCCACCTCCATTAACAAGTGACAGAGGCCTCCCTTCTAATTGACAATCATTAAGGACATTTTTACGGTAATTACTACTGCCCAGAGTTTAAAGAAACATGACTCT